TTGGACAGGATGTAGGCGCGCACGCGGTCGCCCTTGGCCAGCATGAGGCGCACCTGGTCGAGGATGTAGTCCACCTTCTCCCGCTTCGACAGGGACCCGTACGTCTCGACGTTCACGCCCTGGAGGATGTCGGCCGCCTCGCCGACGGCGCCCGCGGCCTCCTTCAGCGCGCTTAGCATGCGCGTCAGCTTCGCCCGCTCGCCCTCGCAGTACATCTTGCCGTCCGTGATCTCGCAGAGCGCCTTGAGCAGCGCCTCGCGGTCCGCGAGGTCCGTCATCTCCGCGGGCTCGGCCTCGAGCACGGCCAGGCCCTCGGCGACGATGCCGCCGATGGCCGCCTTGGACTGGGACCGCCGCTTCGCGAGGAGCGTGCAGTGCGCCTGCGGGGGGTCTTCGCGTCGGCGCGCGCGCGCGCGCGCGGCGCGACGGGCGCGGGGTCGCGCGATGTGCGTCGCCCAGGCCCGCTTCGCGCGGCACATCTGGAGGATCGTCGCCGCGACGAGCTTCGTCGCGATGCTGTCGTTCGACAGGCGGCACTTCTTCTCCACGTTGAGGAGCGCCTCGATGACCGCGGGGTCCTCGAGGTTGCCCGTCGCGTCGAGCGCCGCCTGCGCCTCGGCGATGCGCTCCTTCGCCCAGGGCATCTGGTCCACCTTCTCCTTGTCGCGGATCGACATGGTGCGAAGCGCGCGACGGGCCCCGGTCGGTGGCGCGTTCGCGAGCGCTTCAGCCGCCGGACACACCCTCCACTGCGGCGCGCAGCTTGACCGCGATTCCCTGGCGGCCCGGGCAATGTTGACCAAGTTATTGAAGGGGGAGCACACCCGAAGATCCCGCCGGGGAAGGCGCGGGCGGAGGCCTAGCCGGGGATCTGGCGAACCACACCGGCCCCCTCCTCCACCCTGAAGATCGTGCGCGCACTCGGGACGGAGGCGGCGGTACACTCGCGCCACGCCTGGTACCACCGCCACGCCGAGAGCACGCCGGGACTGGCGCAAGGCAGTAGCATCCTGAGTCGCCTCATTCAGACGACACTCAACGGACTCTCCGTGGACCGGGGGAGGTTGAGAACGAAGGCACCCGCACCCGACGGGCAGGACGTCCGGCTCGACTAGGCCGATTCAACCTCAGGACCACAAGTGGCTAGCCGAGGGCACCGCCGAAGAGGACACCCGTGGTCAGCGGGACCGAAGAGAGCAAAGACGCCGACGAAGAGAGCGAAGACGCCGACGTCGACGGAGCCGCACACAGCGCCACGCGAAGCCATCGAGGGCGCCGACCCCACCAGCTCCCCCCAAGACTCACGCCGAAGGCATCCGAACGAAGCGAGCGCGCGCGGCAGCCCCCCGGGCCCGTGGGCGACGTCGCGCCGACGGCCAAGCACTGCAAGCTCTCGCGCTCGGCGCCCCGCCGCCCAATCGACGCGCGCAGCGGGGTGCTCCTCCCCGAGCGCCCCCCGGAGCCGACGCGGCGAGCCCCACCACCGGCCGCTGCGCGAAACCACCCCCGCGCACCCTCCGAAAGCCGCCCCATAAGCTTCGGCGTTATCATTCATGTAAAGTTGTTGACCCGGTGTTGATGAGTGTTGATGGCTGTGGCAATGGGCGGCTGGCTGAGCTGAAGCGGATGGAGCGCATCCCGCTCGACGCCGCGCTGGACGATCATCCCATGGCTGACTTCCTCAGCGAGGAGGACTCGAAGGCGGCGAGACGGCGGACGAGGCCGTCCGACAGCGAGGAGGACTCGGAGATCGACGAGGTGATGGCGGATGATAATGTGTGTGGTGATCTCGAGGAAGGTGAGGCCGAATACCTCGAGATGCAGCACGAGAAGATGATGGAAGATTTGAAGGAGATGGACGCGGCCTTTGCTGCGTCCTTCAGCGACGACGGTGAGTCCATCTCCTCCTCCGAGGTGGACGCGCTGCTGCAGCAGAAGAAGAAGAAGAAGAAGAAGAAGAAGAAGAAGAAGAAGAAGCCCGCGGAGCCGGTCCGGGAAGTCACCTACACGATGAGCGCCGAGCTCCTCGCGGACTGCCGGC